ACCAGTAATTCCCATTTCCACCCCAATTTACGTCCACAATATGTATATTCTGTTTGACCAACTAGGGCAGATGTTCCAATTACTACCACTTTAAGATTGTATTCAAGAGAATCTTTCAATGAATCCGACCACCCGGTACGTCGAATCTTAATCCCGTCCGCCTCATTAATACGCAGCGAATGTTCAGAAAAACGCGATTACCGTGGCTTAGAGCCGATAATAGGAGATCGACGAGCAACTATGAATTTCTCACGGTCGAACGAACAATCTTCCGGTAGTAGAAATCGGTGGTACGTCCCGTTAATGTCTTTGCGTTTCGCAACGTTTCCCGCCGCTTTTCGCCGTTTACTCGGTTTCGTGTTTACGTCCACACGGACAAAAAAGAACAGTTTATGCAACACGACTCGTGAAGAAAACAAAAAAATGGGCCACGAGGTTATTGGGTTCCATTTGATGAAATATGTATAACCGGTTCTGCTGGAACGGGTACTGGAATCGGTAATCATTTCCCTCTTCCAAACGATCGAAACTCTAATTAGCGCGTGCTCGAGCTTCGGTAAAAATCAAACGATCCGTCCACTTTGGAGCCCTCTCGAGGCGTAACGGAGCGACTAAACGAAACGTCGAGGACCGCGACACTCCCCGCTTTAAACTTTTTTTGAAATTTACCTTCCCGTGGTTTTATTTTCTTACCCGCTTAAACCTCTTTTTTTTTTTAATGAAATATGGACTAAATTTTGAAATTTTACGCCTCGAAACCGTTTTCCCCGGGAGGCTCGAATGATTATTATTTCACCTGACGCGAATTTTGAACGTGACAACAGTGACGTTCGTCGATCAGACGGTAACATCGAAACTGGTCGTATCGAACGCGTCAACGGTGCCCGAAATCTGGTTCCCGTTGAAAGACGGACGATCGAAATCCGATAAAACCGTCCCGTGATTGATGGTTCACCTTCGTCGCTACAACGGCCGAGCCCTCGGTCCGTATGTGGGGCACAGGTGTCCGGCGAAGGGAATTTGTCGGGGAATCGTCGCCGGTCACGGGTTTACTCTCTGAAAGTCTCGTAAATCTTCCCCTCCTTCTGGCCATTTCTTCCGCGATCTTCCTGTTCTGTCGCCATGGGGACACTCTATTCAGTGTGTAAGAATATTAATTATTGAAGCGAATACAAAATTCATACTCAGTTGACAATAGATAAAATATATTTTTATTATATTCACTTGGATACACACTTAACAGACGGGAAAGCAAAAATGATAATTCGAACACACACGACTGGGCAGTCGAGAACTGTATTCCATCCACTTGCTTGTTTCACTAAAACTGTACCACCGATCGAGGTGCTGCTCGCGCTGGATTTCGGAGCGCGTGGACGCACGCGGAAGCGAGCGTATACGTGATTTGACGGATCGGTGGAGATTTAGAATCGCGGTTTCTGCGGCGACCAACTGCATCTGCAGTCGTAAGCCGACTGCTCGGAACGCAAAGTGTGTTCGTATCGCGGTCTCTGCGAGCCAGCCAGCGTGTTTCCCAGTGACGGCGGCCAGCGGCGCGGAACAACCTCGGAACGTTCCAAAGAAGGCCCGAGTTTCACGGGCTGTTGTGTCATACAGCACGAGCAAAAGTTACGCGATACCCGGCGAAATTACGTCGTGCCGGGGCCACGTGGTCGTTTCGTGCACATATAGAAATAAGACGACCGGTCTTAATCTTGAAATGAATGGATCGCGGAAAATTTCGAGATCATCGCGTATGTAATCACGTGCCAAAATTCTTGGCTCGCTTTCGCGCGTTTATTTTTGGTACACGAGCTCTTCTGGCATCTCACGATCCACATTCGAAATATACTGACGTTGATTTTGTAAGGACGATCGCGATTAATGCGCAAGTACACACTGGATTGTAAGTGTTAGAACATTTGACGAATATGCAGTAGGAAGGTATTACGAAATTGATGAAAGTTTGGAGCAAATATTGTTTAGGGGATATGAAAGCTGGGGATATGAACGGTGGAAGTACCAAATCGGTAAAAATTACTTGCCAGTATACTCCTATGGTGATGATTAAAATGTTTCAACAATTCCTTTTTGGTCAGATATTTTACAACTTTTATTACGATATGAAAATTACAAAATCAGGTAATTTGAAGGTAAAAAGGGAGCAAGTTAACTCGACACAGTCTTCTCGATCCCGACCCTCCAATCCATTCCCGCAGCTCGAAATTACCGCGAACGGAGCCCCGTCGGAGTATTCGAAATACTCGACCAGAGGAGCGTTCGGGTAATTCGTCTTCGTACACTAAATAATAATTCGAACTGGAAGCTCGTCCTCGCGGTCCGGCTGTATGCGGAAGTTCTCCCGGGGATTCATTCCTGTTTGGAACGTGTTGGTAGCTGTGGCGAATGTAACCCACCCCGGCTAACGATCGTCTCCGAAACGGAATGAAAACCGGGCATCCCGATAAACCCCAGGCTGGGTCCAGCCACCGATGCTGCCCCGTGATTAATTCTTCCCATTAATCACGTTTCTATCCATCATCCGGCCGCGGTATCTGCGACGTTATTCTTCGACCGCCACTTTAAACGGCGTAAAATCAATCATAATCGGGAAGGTTCAGAAAGGGCCTCGCGCTCCACAACTGCCCTCCCCCTTCTGTGAGTTTACAGACAGTTTTATCACGAGGTATAAATTTTATCAACGCCCGGCTCGGATGTCTTCCGGGGATTAACTTTGGACGAACCGCGCGATGTTATGACGCCGCGGGACGCGATTCATCGACCGTCGACGATCCCCGTATCCTTTCGCGCAACCTGTTACCGTTTAACGACCCCCGTGAAAACGTGATCGATAAATTATGGCCGAACGAAGAATTCGCCTGTGGTCGCGGGGGGAACAGGATGTACAGGGTGTTCGGGAAATTGTCGGAACAATCTGTGATAGAAGGGATGTGTTTCATTACTTTTATGGAAGAAAACATATTATTGCTTTGAGTCGATGCTTACTGAGAAGGAAACCATTGGTTTTCTTTTAAACAGGGAATAAAAAGAAACTGGCGGTATATTACGTTACTTGGGTAAATTGTGGTTCACCACTCGAAGTGACAAATTTATTAACAGAAACACGATAAAAATAAAATCAGAAAAATTATACGGGGTGGATAATTAAAGACATAAATCACACTGAACACCCTTAATTTTATATCTAAGTTAGACTTTGTGACGTGCAGAGGAAAAACTAAAACCAGCATCGCGTTCAGCAACCTTCAATTAACACAAAACATCAGGTTTAATTCCACCATTTTAAGACTTGTCGAACATTGTTATTAATAGTACCTACGGCTATAATTATGCGATCTCTTGTAACGAAACGAGAAGCAATATCTCATATTGCATTTGTAAAACGATCCTGAGATTTGTCCAGAACGAGAATCGTGTGATAAGTGGCGCGATTGCCGTCTATACGGTATCGAGAATTTATCGCGAAATGTCGACGCGCCCGACGGTCTTCCTGTTCCCTCGTCTTCTTTCTGCGTGCACTTCCGGTAAATACAGTCGAGAAATGGAATCGACGGCTTCCCTCTTCCAGTCGAACGATCAACCAACTGCCCTCTCGCTTCACCCTTGACCAGCCCTGAAACTTTCCCAAAGGATTTCTTGACTGGTGTGACTCGCGGTGACCCTCTTCCTGTTCCTCTTCCTTTTCCTCCTCGTCTTCTTCGAGAGCTTGTACAACCGCCGCAGACCGTCTTCTATTCGGGTCGACGCCGTGAAATTTTCAAGTAGGGAAGTATCCTTTGACCTTTCGTCGTCTGAACGGCGTGCCGATCCACCGACAACTTCCGTTCACCGTAATGCAAATAACGCATCGATCATGACAAACGACAGATACGGTATTTCCACGGTGGAATCGTCCAGGTCTGGATTATACCTGCGTTGCATTTCACTCTTCGCGATACTATGTTGAGAATGCCTCGACATTAAATTTTGATGCAATCAGTACGTACTTACTTCAATAATATATTTTGTAAATTTCCATCTGCATCGTACGTAAATAATATCTTAATACCTCTTAAATTTTATGGATAAAAAGTAGTTAAATTTTATGATATTTATGGCCGAAAGAGAATACCAAGAATATATCGTCCTAGACCGTCGATAAAGTCAGCAAAATGTCATAGACAGGAATTCCTGGACAGCTGTACTACACGTGCAAGACACTTACTGTCCCAAGACCGTTGAATTATTGTATTTCTGCGCCGACTTCTAGGAATCCCAAAAACAATACCTAGTCCAAGCGCCACTTCTTCCAACTCATACTACCATCTCTTTTTCCGCAAGCTACACCGACCAAAATCCTGTATCTCCCACCAATGACAAGTCGATCCGTTACAACATGCGTCTATGGATTCAATCATCCATCAGATGACATTCAACCATCAATCATAACACATCGCTCGGTCGGAACACAATTAGTACCCACATACACGTACAGAACGTTGGTACATTACGTTTATATTGAAGTTCAAGTGTGACCACCTGAATATCTGTTTTAATTGTGAAAACGCGAAAAATATTTTATAGGTAATTCCAATGGTATTAAGTGATCAATATCCTTGCAGGCGTTGTTTTTCCTCGAAGTGTTCAAGGTAATCGATGTACTTTTTTAAAATAACTACATATTTCTCAAGATCATATCACAGTACGTATCCGGCTGTATTTTTTCATGCGCTACGCGATGCAATAGGAAAAAAAATATGTATTCGAAGAAAAAAGAACATCGATTACTGTGAAAACTTTGAGAAAAAGTAACGCCTGCAGAATACTCACCACTTAATACCATTCAAATTACGTGTAAAATATATTTTGTCTGTTCACAATTCAAAAAGGTATTCGGAGGTTCGTCTCCTGTTTGTACTTTCATAAACGGAATAAACAACCGTTAAGTGAAAGTTAAAAACTAGATACTAATGGAATTTCCGTTGATTTTCTCTGCGCAGCCCTCTCCGATCGACCAATGTTTGCCGAGCCAATACCTAACGTCACGGTGCCGCTGGGGAGAGATGTCAGTCTACCGTGTGTCGTCGAAAACCTCGGTGAATTCAAGGTAATTAAATCGAACCTATCTATCCGGCGTGTTCTCGCCTCGAACGTGGTTTAAAAACTGAGCCGATTCAAAGTGCACACGCCGCTTGTCCGCGAAGCTCTTCGCGTTCGTTGAACACAGACCACCGTTCCTTCGCGACTGTGCAACGCATATAATCAGAAAACGCGACTGGAAACGTTCGATTCGGTTCGTTTATTCACAAACGAATTAAACATTTATCATACAAGCAACGTTTTCGTACAATGGAAATTCTGCATGGTAAATTATTCGAATAACAAAGACATTTAATTTGTTCCTCCGCACCACGTTACACAGAATCGTTTAAAAACATAGTTAAAGCTGGTAGGAGGGTGACTAAACAAGAATGAATCGGAATATTAAATGTACATTCGTTCATCCTGGTTATTCTTTCTTCGACAAATTGAAAGGCTGGTAGTCCTGGACATTTCAGTGTCTTCCTTACTAAATCATGTAGAAAAATAAATAGCAGATTTATAATAGAAACAACTGGAAATTAATAGTAGCATACACGTCAAACGAATAAGATCTTGGTACGCGATAGCGTAACGTATTCCAGAGGTACAGCTCATTCTATAAGCGCACCGGGTAGCTTTGTTTAAAGTCGTAAGACAGGAGGTTGAAACAAGAGTTCTCGCGGAACCCGCAGCAGCGCACACGTTCGCGCCAAGGTGTCTCCACGCGGTGGAATACGCGACGGCGCGATGCACTGCAGCGAAATGCAGTATGCAGCCCAAGGGGTGGTGGTTCGCGCTTACGTAAGCTGCGTCCGGGACCACCGTTATTACGCAATGCCGTGGATAAATAATAAATACCACCCGGCGAAGACATTGTAACGCCTCAGGATTCCCTCCACGGACTTCGGTTCTGAAATATTTACGGTATCTGTTCCCGATGTATCGATTTTTCGCGGCTGGTTCTGGTTCCCGAGGAGGAAGAAACCACGGAGGATGATATTATCCGAGCGAATAAAACAGACGGTTGAGGGGTGGCTGCGGAGGAAACGGTCGGTCCGGCATGCATTATTATCGAAGGCAACGGAATATCGAGAGGATAATGAATATTCGCGATTGCGGCTGATCCGTTAATAAATGATAGACACGATCGATCCACCAGGGGTGTATGGTAGGCGGAAGGGTGGATATGAAAAGAAATGACGAAGACAACCGGAGAACACGGTGAAAATATGAAACGCAAATACGCGGATTCGGAAACAATGGAGCTGTCGCCTGGTGGTGCCTTCGACCGTTCCACGATGATAATTCTGCCGGCCTATTAATCGAGAACAATGCCAGTGGGGGAAACGGAAACGAAACAAGAGATCCAAGGGTCTCTCTCGTGTTCCGAGCGAACTGGGGTCAGAGAGGGAGGATACAGGAATCGATCACAGTCGGAGGATTTTTGAAAACGATCGTTTGAATAAGTTGCAATGTGTAACGTGCGGGAAAAGGAGAAGCTCGAGGGGGTCGTCTGTTGCACGCGGGTTGCAATCGATTAAAAAGAATAATACCCCCCCCCCAACGTATCAGGGAGAAAAACAGGAGAAAGAAGAAAAGGGACGTAGTATTACGGGAGGAACGCTCGCATCGGTGTGTACGATCGAGGATCACGATAATATCCGCCGTGGAGCGCAACGCGTGTTCCACATTATTCTACCATTTACGTCTTCGCGATCGTAAATCATTAAACCGTGGAAGAGGAAGGAGAAACTGGCCGGCAATGGGGAGGGGATGAAAGGAAGAGGAGAAAAGAAAACAGTGTAACCGGAAGGCTTAATGCGTGGCTCGTGTTCTATACCGTTCTCGTTCATTCCGTCGATCCTCTGTCCCGTTCAATTACCTTCGTCCCAGCGTGTCCAAGTTATTAGCATTACCGCAATTCCGTCGAATGCCACCACGATGGCGTGCTGGTAATTTCCTCCTCCCCCTCTCCCACGTGCCTTTTCTTCTTCCTGGACTGTCGCTATTCGAGACGTACCGAGTAAGGGACGAAGAGGAGGGGGGACAGGAAGAGATTCTTACCGCGACCGGTATTGGAAACGCATCAGTTGTCCCGTGAAGAAGCTAGCTGGAGGCCGTAATCCCCGCGACCGATCGGCATTACACGCGAACAAACATATCGGCGAGTGTAACGAGCGACCGTCGGCTTTTACGGGGCGAAACGAGCACAAAGGGGATGGGAATGGGGGGGGGGGTGATGCCACCGCGGGTGGAAAAGATATTGTGGAGTGCAGTGAGCCGGAAAGTGGGTTTGAGTATTGGGGATACCGAGGAGACAGCTGGTACTTTGGCCTTTTGGAGTCATCCGACTAATACGAGGTGAGACGGTAATGTTTGAACTTGGTTGGAAACGAAATTATTGACGAAACGTTGTTGCTGTACCTTGTAAAAGAACGGGGGGGGGGGGCTAAAACAGGTGTCAAAAAGTGAGTACTGTAAGATGGGGCAACTTTGACTCGGTCAGGGTAACTTGTAGCTCTGCAAAATTGTTGAATTGATTTTTACGTGAAAAGATATTTCACGTAGAAATACCTGAAGAGCTGCAGAATCTCCGCGTTTCATTCCCGTGACGTAGGAACGCGCAAACATCTTTACGATTCCATGGAATAATGGACGGAGTTGTAAACGTGGACGGTATTAAGGTTTATTGTCGCCGTATTATAACGCTCACTTCGTCTCTCGTAAAACTGGATCAGCCGAATTATTAAAATTCTTCGGTCGCACCGCGTGGTCCGCCCACTGGGGAGGTATTTTACAGAATTCGGGGGTTTTATCACGTCGAGGTCGAGTTACGATCGGTCATTGTTATCCCCGTGTATCGTAATTCCAACATATTCTCAACCCTTTTCTCTACGGAGTTCCGCAATTCCACCTCATCCCCGAAAACGTGGATCTCCCTTTTTCCAATTTGAATCACCGAATCCCTATGCAGTACTCGCAATTTTTTTCTTTCGACTCACCACCCTTGTTAGTGTCGCAGGGAGTCCTTTGGGCCGCGCGTTTCGAGCGAAACGCTGAAATTTCCTCGCGCGACCGGGCGAAAGAGTTTCATTGTAATTCCCTACGGCAGAACAATGCCGTCTTCCTGGCATAATTAAATCCCAGAAAATTGACAAAGTCGTACGGTTTCTTCGAGTTAGCCAGAAATCGAGGACTGCGACCCGGTGTCTCTGGGTTGGCCATCGAGGGGGATGAAAGGGGTACAGGGGTTGAAATGGATGGTGGGGCTTTGGCACCCCTGTAAATGGAATCTTCTGGCGTTTTGATCAAAGAGCCTCGACAAACTCACCTGTCGGGACTCCGTATTCGCGCAACGTCGAGTCTAATGAGACTGCCAGATACTCGAGTCGCAGAATACGTGTCTCGCATCCGTGGAAAAAATCATTCGCTGCCGGACGATCGACCGATCGTTGGCCTTGTTGTTTCACGAAGCAACGGCAGAGAATATCCATGAAGACAAAAATGTGACTCAGATGAGAACACTGAAAATTTGTTCACGTCGATTTCAATGAAATTAAAAAACAAGCCTAGAGAAATCGTCCAGGTCAACGGTTCCCAACCTTTTCCGACTTGAGTATAAACTTCTGTAAATTATACCCTCTATTACTCGAAAAATTGGTTGTAAATTGTATAATCACTGTTATTTCAATTAGTATCCCTAAAATTCTAAGCACGTTACCTCTTTTCTTTTTGCCTTTGATCGAAAGCCACTGAAGGAAGAGAAGAGTAATGGAAATTCGAATGAAAGAGCAGGAGAAAGGGGACGGTAATCGCGTTTAACAACGATCTCTCGATTTGATTTTCGGTGAACGTTAAACGGGCTTGTAATGATTAATCCGTCGAGCATAAAGCGCGAACACAAAATGAAAAGTATTCCCGCGAAATGACAGAATTCAAAGAAAATTCCAGTCCCAATCGAATGCACAAATCCGTGGATTTTTATTCGTGTACTGGCTCCAACGGGCTAATGGATGGCGCAGTTCCATTCTACGCCATAAAAATATTAGAAGATTACTTTTACAGTATTATATTTTGGTATTTGCTGTGGTCCCATTCAATGGGAAAATCTGCGTGGAATAACGAAGGAATAATTCGAATTGAGAGTAATTTTTACAGCGGTGAAAAGATCCGGTTAATTTTTAACACATACATCGATCTTAATGATTCAATCCGTTCGCCAGGAACCAGAAAATTAATTTTCTCGATTCGTCTCGTTAACGTATCTTTTTTCTCTGGATCTCGAAATCATATCGGATGAATATTCAGCTTTCACGGTGTTCTCCATTATCGTTTCGTCGAACGCGATGGAAAAAATTGTTGCTTTATTTTATTGTTCAGTCGGATTGACGTTTTCGGCGAGAATATTACGACGGTTTTAGCGAAACGCGAGAGAATATAATAATGAATGTTTCGCAGGCGGAGAACCAAAAATAAAAAAAAAAGAGCTGCCGTGTATTTACATTTAATTTCGACGGATACAGTGATACCGGACAAATTTCGTCATGGCAGCTGATGCTCGATTAATGTACCAAAGCGTGTCGGATAAATCAAAGGCCGGACGTTCGTAAATCAATCGCAGCTAATTTACCGTCGCCATTATTACCTCGTATAATAAATTTCGTTCATCGAGCAACCTTTTTTTATCAATTCGTCCGTTATTCGTGATATTCGGTCTGCCATTTTGTCGCTCGATCGTCGGTTCTAATTATTTATCCCGGAAACGAATTCCGTGTCGATAAAACATTCAGTAACTTTTCACCATTCCTCCGCAATATTTGCTCGATTTATAGTTGAACGATCATTTCTTTAAATCTTCCCCCATCAAATCCTACGAATCGAAATTTCCAAATAATATCTTCCAAAACCCAAAGCACTGTCCATCGAAACCCTTCAAATAACACGCCAGACACGGTACTCCAGGGGAATTCTTGGTCCATTAAATTTTCATTCGTTCGCGATCACGAGAAATCGGGCGAACGGAGA